AAGTCTTCAGCCCTAGAGTCCGGGGCTTGTCATCGAAGCTTTATCTTGACAAAAGGAAGACCCGCCAAAGGCCGCCGCTCAAGGTTGAACATGTTCGAAAGCTGGAGGCCATCGCAACAGGTTCCATCCAAATGGAGCCAGCTGATAGAGTGGCTGCTGGGTTCTTCTTGTGGGCCTTGTATGCGCGGGCACGATACTCGGATGCTCAGGCGGCCGGTGCATTGTTTTGTGACTTGAGTACCACCGAAGATGGGGTAGTGGGGTACTTGGAAGCTCCTGTGGAGAGAAGCAAGACCTCCTTTTCTTTGGAGAGAAAGGTCAGATATTTGCACATGTTCGCACCCATCGAAGGGGTCGGAGAGATGGCTTGGGGTGTCCCTTGGTTCGAGTTCTACAAAGTGCATGGGCCCCCGCTGGGGCCAGGCAAGCCTTTGTTGCCATGCCCTCTTACCGGGGGTGGTTGGCAGTCTGCACCTCTTAGCGTGGCCAGCGCGACTAAATGGTTGAAGGCCCTTCTCATCATTGCAGGGTGCGATCGCAGCAGCGTGGATCTCTTAGGTACGCACAGCTTGAAGGTTACGCCTCTTTCTTGGTGTGCGAAGTTTGGACTTTGCCGAGAAATAAGGGCCACGCTTGGATATCATGCAAAGGGTCGTGACGGCACAGAGTTGGTGTATGGCCGTGATAACATGGCAAAACCGGTGAGGGAATTTCAAGAGGTGCTACTGCAAATTGCTCTTGATAAGTTTCGCCCCGATGCCACCAGATCGGGTTTCTTCGTGAAAAGTGCCCGTGAGCCGGAAGGTGAGCCTCTGCCCCCGGACGAGGTTTTGTCCGACTCGTCATCCGAGGCCAGTGATGATGCGGAGGATGTGGATCACGAGGCGGCCGAGGGAGCTGCCGATGAGCTTGGTCATCAGTGGGAGCCCGATCTGGGGCTGAGGGAGGAGCTGGCTGCTGTGCCCCTTTTCAGGAATCGTGATAGTCGTTTCATTCATGCTGCCGCTTCAGAAGAAGGCGACAAGTTCAAGTGCGGGAGGAGCATCTCCACTCGCTACACCAGGCTCGCGAGTGTGCCTAGGATTTTGTTCCCGTTGTGTAGAACGTGTTGTCCGCCGAAGAAGCGTGACTGAGGAGGGATGAAAGAAGTGTCACACGTTCCGTGATGTTTGTGGGTCGGTGCCTGCATTGCTTTCTTGAGAGGGATTGTGGCTCAGTCTTTGCAGTCTGTGTACCACATGTGAGTTTCATGACATGAGCTGACAGATTGATGCTTAGGCATGTTTTCACGTCAGTGCTTTTAATCGAGTGAGCCTAGGGTCGTTTGCGTGATGGCCAATTATTCAGAGAGTCTTTCCGTGCTGAATGCTCGGTTGAGTGCTGTGGGCTTTTCTGCAGAAGACATCCAAAAGATTTCGCCGGAGGTGGGCAACCTCAGGCGGCTGGCCTTCATTTCATCGTTCACTCCAGGGCAGACTGATGAGGAGCCACTCATGAAGGTCCTCAAGGACATTCTTAAAAGGGATCTTGCGATTGCAGACAAGGCCAACTGGAGAGCCATTTTTAACGAAGCATTCGCCATCGTCACTGCAGAGATGAAACAGAGGGTCGAGAAGGCTGATCCTGAGTCCACCGTTCGCCCCTTGTCACAACCGGAGCGATCGGAGAGATACGAGAGGCAGGCCAAGAAGCTTACTGGTATTTCTTTGAAAGGCCCTTTGGAGCCAGCGGACGCCTTGGTAGACTTGGCAGTGGCCTCTTATGAGGCAAACGAGTTGCGTTACATTCCTTGGGAGAGGTGTGTTTCAAAGGAGGCCGAGTTGGCCGGGGAAAGGAAGCGCGATGTTAGGTTCACCGTGGAGGAGTCTTCGGGAAAGGCATTGTTTGGGAAGTGAAACG